TACAGCGCGATCAGCCTCCCGTGGAAGCCGACATGCAGCATCAGCACGCTCGCCAGGGTCGTCGTGACGTTCGCCCCTATCACCACCACCGTCACCGCCGTCACCGGCAGGTCGCCCCACTTCCGCCAGCCGATCAGCGTGAACGTGCAGGCGGCCACCAGGCCAAACATCAGCCACGGGCAAGTCGTCTCGGGCCGGACGCTGAAAGGTTTTGCACCAGCAGCAATGGTCGGTGTTCGTGAAAGCGAGGCTTTCACGTAAAGCAAAAATTACTCCTCTGGCCTACTTTCAGAGTAGTCTACCCACTTCACGCGCTCATCACAAAGTGGGAGAATTCACCAACGTCTATGGACAAAGGGTGACCCAAATATGTTACTAACACAGCGGCTGGATGCGGAGATATATCACCATGAATCGACATGGGATATGGTATTGTTGGGACGAACAACTTGAGAGGGGGGCAGGGGAGAGGTCCAACGTTCTGGGTGAACGTTCATTCGGATCCTTGAGAGAAGCGTTCGGGTGCCATACCGGCTTAAACACCTCTGCGCGCCTTCAAAATTACACGGCGATAAAGGCTAGCCTCGTACTACAAAGCGTATCTTGAGAAACGCGTTTGCGAAGGACGTTAGCGTCTCAGGTGGGCCCGGCTCGTAGCACGTTGTAGGAGCCCACCATCCCATCAAACCCCCACCACACTGGGGCCGATGCTCAGCTGCAACAGCCACAAAACCGCCGAACCACGACAAAAAGAAAAAAGAAAAAAGTGTGACAGAGACACAATTCCAACCCTGCTGAGCACTTGAAGCGTCCAAACAAGAGCCGCCGTTGCCCTAATCCCTCTGTTCTCACCTGGAACCAGGCCGCCCGTGCTCCAGGATCATTCGCTCCCTGAGCTCGAACGCCCGAGGGTTTTGCCCCTTGAGTCTGCTCTCCGCCGCCTGCCTCTGCGCCAGCTCTTCCTCCGAGACCTTCCAGGCGAGGCACGTGAGAAGTCCCGTCATCACCGCGAGATAGATCAGGATCGCGCTCTGGCTCACGGTGTAGTACGCCAGCAGCTCCTTGCGTGGGTCGGTGGCGGCAGATAGGGAAACGTACGCGTGGTGCGGGCAGCGGGCGGGGCGTGGTTCGCTTAATTGCTTGTCACGCAAGGGGTCACATCGGCAACAACTTCAAACCCATGTCCTGTATGTAGCAATCCGCAAACATTTTGAATCGCCTCGGGCGATGAGCGTCGGCGGCCCAAACAAGAGCCTAACACGCACAATATCAAACCGTAACGTAATCAGCACCCCATCAAAGATGTGAGAACAGAGGGATATGCGGAGGTTAGTGACACGGTCTATCGCAGTCGCATCCTGCCAGAGAAAGCCCCGTCAGGGTGATATAGCCAACCAAGTAAACCGTTCCACAGTACAGTGCAGTCAAATCCCTCACGCAGAGAGCACCGACAGCCGCAACGAGTCGCACAAGACAGCGCCTTGTCGTTATCGAACGCCTGCCCAAACACCACCCATTCGTTCCCCTACCTTCCCATTCGCGTAGCCGCACGCTTCCCCGCTCTTCGCCCGCTGCGAACCACGCGCGGGTGCCGCTCCATCTTCCTCAACCCAGAAGATCTCTCCGTCGCCCCCTGGTCCCCCGGCCTGCCGATGGTCTCCCGCTGCCGCACTATCTCTGCCTCTCTTCGCCCCCTCGAACGCACCGACGATATTTGGCGAAAACTTGGAACGGGAGCGTGATGCCTCGCCCGAAGGCGAACCAGCGGCGCGGCGACCTTGGAGAGACGTCGCGGGGTGAGCGTGCTTCCAGCTCCCCAGGCAGGTGCGGCACGACGAGATGCACAGCGGGGGGCCGCCGAGCCTCGCCGCCGTGAGCGTCACCGCGATCACGACGCTCAGGAAGGAGAGGGAGAGGACGGGGACGAGCCGCGGGGGGAGGAACTCCTCCATCGCGGCCACGAAGCTCCGCTTGAAGCGGTCAAAGCCCGGCAGGACCGTGGAGGCCCGCTTGGCGCCCATCACGAACATGGCGTTGTAGAAGCACCACACGCACACGGGGATGGCCGCCAGCCAGGGGGACCCCGAGAGGGAGAACGGGATCGCGATGCTCAGGATGCACATCGAGAAGTGCAGCGCCAGCTCCTTCTGGAACACGAACTTGTGTATTCTGAGGAAGAACCGCCTCCTGTCCCCCTTGCCCCTCTTCCGCCCACCGCCGCCGCCGTAGACGTCTCGATCTCGCGGCGAGGTAACCCCCGCCCCGACACTCCCGATCCCACCCGCCCTTGGAGATCCCGCAGAGATCCCTGCCTCCATCCCGCTCGCTAGAGAGCTTCCCCCTACACCGCCGCCACCGGCAGCACCCCCAGCGCCGGCGCCGCCCCCCCCACCGGCTCCGCCGCCCGAGTGGTCCCCGAACGAATCGTCGCTGCAAGCGAGCGGCAGGAGATATTCGCCATCGAGCTGCTGCGAACGGGGAGACAAGTTTTCGCGGTGGTCTAGGGGTCCGTCTGCGTCCCAATGTGTTCGCGCGATGCGCCTCATGTCGCGGCCGAACACCTGCAGTTCCGCGCACCAGTTGCTTCCAGTGGTGCCGCTCTTGCCTTCGAGGTTCCAGAGGTTCAGGGAGGTGGCAATGGCAAAGAGGGAGGTTCAACGACCCGCAAATCACATCCTCTTTGCAGTCAATTCCGAGATGCACTGGCGTTAGCAAAGCACTTCAACTAGCGAGTGTCTCTACGCGGGATAACCACCGTTGCTTCGGATACTTGTGTGCATGGTTTGCAACCGTCAATAGTCTGCCGAACGTTGTAGTGGTTAAGATTATCAGATCATTGACGCCCCGACTCGAAGTTCACCGGCGCCTTTGCCATCATCGATATGTGTGATGACATGGTCATCATCGTTATGCATGATGACATTGATGTCCCGTTGTGCGGGTTGTTGCCCCAGTTGGCGTACCAACAGCAAGTGGTTTCCCCGCGTTCAGAATAGAAGCGTTGCCGAGCGCACTTGTTATCGCGCGCGAGCGCTGTTCCTGAACTGAACATTGGCTGCAGTTAGGATATGCCTTGTATATCCACACGGCAAGGAAAATAGGAAGCGACAGAGGGAGAGGGGTTGGCGCTTTGGGCCTGGGGCAACCGATGTTGCTGTCGTACAAGGTGGAATATGTTGTGGGTGGCGTTCGGCGGCGAAATACAGAAAACCATTTTCATTTTTGTGCCCGCTACTTTGGCAGTCTGACTGCTGCGTGGCATCTCACTGATGACGAGTCACTTACATCCCCTCGATAAAATTGATAAACAGGCACGCTTAGCGAGGATGCAGGCAAGGGCTGGTAGGCTTAGTGGGGAAGCATGGAGACTGAAACGCGGAGTCAAAACCCACCGTTAATCTGCCCCTGCTGGTATTTAGGAGAAATTGGGAGCTAGAATATATTCCGCCATAGAAGCCCGGAGCAAAACTGGCTGATATGCCTCAAGGACGACCTGAAGATGTTCGAAGCCAGACACGGCTCCACGCCCGACAAGCGGAGCTTCTTCGGAATCCCGAAGCCAGACTGGGACGAGGCGGCGAAGGTGGAGGGGGGGGTACCGTGGCACGCGGGGGTGCTAAGAGGTTTATGGCCTCGTGGCACAAGGACGAGGAGAAGGCCAGCCGACAACGAGCCATCAAACGAGGAGACAGCGGGCCCAAAAATAGTCTAGATACGGCACCAATCAACGGGGCGGGAGGGGGGCGGAGGAAACGGCGCGGGAAGAAAGCAAGCGAGAAGAGACCGACCGCGTGACGTGACATGTTGCGTTTGAATTTCAGCGACTAGTTTTTCTGTTGCCCTCTCCCCCGTTTGCTGTCGCGTTCAGACTGTCTCTACGGATATGCCTGTCTCTGTGCGAGTTTGTTTATGTCCTCGTCTGTCTTTGGTTAATTTCGTTTTATTTTGTTTTGTTTTTTACTGGCACGTACTGCTGACCCTTGAGGTCCTTCCGGAAGGCTACCCCCCAGGCTGGTGGTGCGCACGTTCCACTATTTATTCATTTATTTGTTTCTGATTCTTTTGTTTTCTTGTATTTTATCGCTCTGCTAACCCTTGGGGTCCATTTTATTTTGGTATACCTTTTCTAGGTACGTTAGCCTGTGACCACGGAAATTGACCGAGTCAAGTGCTGGATTAGTACGGAGAGATTGAGACAGAAGGAGGTACTGGATAGAGAGACCGGGATGGTTTTTAATGTGAAGACAACAACATAGAGGAACACAATGCTACAACCACAATCAACTATTAGGAGCAGCCAGTAGGAAAACAGCGGGTGGAGATTACGGTCTACCTGCAACAACGGAGGTTACATGGTACTACGTATCTGCGTCTTTCCACAAGGTCACAAGGGTATGGTGAAGGTTGGACCCTTCGGCAGGAGGTGCATCTATTCCGTGGACTATCCACAGCAATGTACAAGGAAGAGCATTGACATTTCCATCCGCCTCACGGGAGACCTCGATCTTGCTGTCTGTTGGACATGTGCAACATAAACTCGTATCATCGCAGGGTGTTTGAGCTCATGCAACAGCGTGGGTTGCTACTGCTGCGCAAAAACAGGAGGATCGTGCATCTGGCGTGTGCCATTGTCTGCCTGAGAGCTGGTGAAAACCCTGCATCCGCTTGTGCACTTGTGCACTGGTCTGAGCGAGACATCCACCCAACCACAAACTGCGTGATAGCCCTCATAAGCTCTCCCACCTTGGCCACCTCTTGCTCTTGTTAGAGTACGCTTCCTCACGCCAGACAACAGGGGTGTCCTGGACATCTATCTCACCATCTCATCGTAGCGGTTGCTGTTGAAGAACCAAGAGTTGTCCGGGACACAATCTGCATACATCGCGGAGATTTGGGGTTTCGACACCTTTCACAGGCTTTTGTCCGTGCAATTATCGGAGATTGCTGGAGATTCGCCATTGGCAATGTTACTCTACGCGATCAGATTCGGCATTGCTCACAGATATACACTGCTTGCTGCGTGTGTCCCGTATTGACCATGGCCGTTGCGAAGCAGCAGAAGAACGCGCCAGCGGCAGCGTCAGCATCAGCAGTGGGCGCTACTACCGCGGCGGCCACGGCCAACCTCTGGGAAACCATGCTGCGAGACGCGATGCGGAGAAGCCGGCTTCCTTCCAGCACGCTCGTCTTCGTCGGCCCCAAGTGCTGCGGCAAGTCGTCTCTCCTCGACACCTTCCTCGAGGGGCAGGGATCCGCCTCTACTAACAACCCTTCCGGCAGCGGTGCAGCGGCTGCCTCCGCCGTTGTCGCGCCGACCCCGGACAAGAAGGGTCCCGAGGGCGGGGCGGGCGGCGGCGGCGGGGGTGCGGCATCTGCAGGAGCTTCGGCGAGCGGCGGCAGCGGCGGCGGCGACCCCATCGCGGGGCAGGCCTTCCACCCCGTCCTGTCGTACGCATACCTGGACGCGGCGGACCCGGCGGAGCAGGGAGCGGAGCGGGATGAGTCGCCGCCCCGCGTGAGCGTTTGGTCCTGTAGCGGGCTGGAGTTCGAGCCCTTGCTGGAGACGGTGCTTCGACCGGAGGAGCTCCCGAACATGGCCGTGGTAGTTGCCGTTGACCTGTCTCGGCCCTGGGAGGTCATGGATTCTGTGGAAAAGGTTTGTGCTTCAGCTGCTACGATGCGGAACTGGTACTTGCTGATCGCGGTTTGAGTTTGAGGTTGTGTTAGGTTGAAATGCAATTTCCATTTTGCCGTTTGAAATTTCTCGTCGATTTGAATTCTTCCGACAGCATGTACTTGTTTGCGCACTTGTTACTGCTGTGATCTTTTATCTCTCTCGTGCACACAGCCGTAGCTACCCATCCAACTCAAACAGCAATCTTCGCAATCAAACGCCAACTGCCAACACCCTCCCCCCACATTTTGTTTTGTTTCCCCGCGGCGTTGTATATGCCGGGTTTTGAGACCATGGGCTCCCCATTTTTTGTGGACTATAGAGCAAATGTGAGAAACAAGAACAACAAC